GCAGCCAACAGCGTAATGCCTCAAGACAGCGTAATGAGCCACCAAATTTCCCCTGAAGGAACACTCTCTCAGTCAGCGAAGAATAAACTTCGTTTACTTATGAACTCTTTGTTTTTGCTAGCAATGGTTCTTGGCCATCTGTAGGCCCAAATGCATCCAATTTTGTTGTGCTTTTGTCGTAAGGAAGCTGCGTCTGTCCGGCCGGTTACAAGCCCCTTCGGAGCCTATCAGTTCCCTCGGCATGGTCCATGGGACATGGTCCTGTGCCTCCCCCCCCCCCTCCCAACCTCTACATCCGTCACCGGCCCGAGCAGCTGAATAAATGGGGCCCGCTAAGAGCACGGGGCCATCTATTCAAATCAGAAATACTCACGACGCAATGTGTAGGGCTCTGAACAATCGAGTGCGCCAGAACAGGTTAACATACAGGGCCCCTGTCAAGAGCTTGGGGCCCTCCATTCAAATAGGAAGTATTCAAGACCCAATGTAGAGGGCCCCCGAACGATCGGGTGTGCCTGAGCAGGTTAACAGATAAGGCTCCCAAAAAGAGCGTAGGACCCTCCATTCAAACATGAAATATTCAAGATCCAGTGCAGAGGACCCTCGAATGATCCAGTGTACCAGAGCAAGTAAACACATAGGTCCCGGTCAAAAGCGTAGGGCCCTCCATTCAAATAGGAAACACTCAAGACCCGGTGGAGAGGGCCCCCGAATGATCAAGTGTGCCCGAACAGGTTAACAAATAGGACTCTCAACAAGAGTGTAAGGCCCTCCATTCGAATGGGAAGCACTGAAGATCCTAAGTAAATGGACCCATGGTGCGTGTGCCAATGATGGAATGTGCCCGAGTAGCGTATCAGAAGCCCGACAAGAGCGCAAGGCCCTTCATTCAAATAGGAAGTACTCAAAACCCAGTGCGGAGGGCCCCCGAAAGATAGAGTATACCCGAGCAGATCATCAGGTGACCCAGACAGGAGTGTAGGGACCTAAATTCAAACACCAAGACCCAATATATAGGGCCCCCGAACAATCCGATGTGGCCGAAGCGGCGAACAGATGGGGTTCCCGACAAGTGCGTAGGTTCCTCCATTCAGATAGGAAGCACCCAATACACAATGTGGAGGGCCCCCGGACATTCAAGTGTGCCCGAGCAGGTTAGCAGATGGGGCTCCGGCAAGAGCGTAGAGCCTTCCGTTCAAATATGAATTACCCACTTCACGATGTAGAATGCCCCGAATAACCGAGTGCGCCAGAGCATGTTAACAGATAGGGCCCCCGAAAAGAGCGGAGGGCACTCAATTAGAATAGGAAGTATCCAAAACCAGACGTAGAGGTCCCCCACGATCGATTGGGCCCGAGCATCTTATCAGATGGGGCCCCCGACAGGAGCTCAAAGCCCTCCATTCAAATAAGAAGTATTTTAAACCACATGCGGAGGGCCCCGAAAGATGGAGTGTACCCGAACAGGTCATCAAATTACCTCGATACGGGCAGAGGGCCCTGAATTCAAACACCGAGAACCAATGCGCAGGGCCCACCAGCAATCCAGTGTGGCCGAGGGGGCGAACAGAGGGGGCCCCCGACAAGTGCGTAAAGCCCCATTCAAATAGCACGTACCTAAGGCCCAATATAGAGGCCCCCGAACGATCGAATGTGCCCGAGCAGGTTATCAGATAGCTCCCCCTCCCCACAGAAGCATAGGCTCCCCATTCAGAAAATAAGTACCAAAAACCCAGTGTAGACGGTCCCCGAACGCTGAGTGTGGCCAAGCAGGCCATTAGATGGGCCCCCGACGAGAGTGTAGAGCCCTAATCAAGTGACAGAGAATTGGAAACGCCCTAGACCAATGTAGAGGACCCATGAGCATATCGCAAGTGTGTCGGTGGGTTAATCGATACCCACGTAAAGGGCCCCTGAGCAACCGAGAATACCCCGGCAGGTTAAGGTAACGGACTCTAACGTAACGTATAAGGTAACGTGGGATGCTTCTAAACGACCGAAATGAATCTGCAAGGGGCATATACGTTCCCCGGAAACAGCATGGGACCCTAGACGGTGTAACGGGGCTCAAAATTTCCAGTTCACAACTTTTCCAGTCACTGAGTAATTTTTGGGACTTCTCATAGGCCCTTCACGCTCGCTTATAACTGTTCTTGGTGGCCTGAAAGTCCAGAGATACCCAGTTTTCTTGAGTTTTGTGTTACAAAACTGCGCCTGTTCGCACGGTTATGGCCCCCCCCCGGAGCCAGTGGACCCCTCCGGGGCCCAAGGGAGGGGGGAGGGGTATACCCCGTGGTCCCTTCCTCTGAATCCGCCCCTGCTTGTTACCTTACGTTTTGGGGATACTTTTGTTATTTTCCACCTTTTTGTTCCTCCCCAAACTCAGTTCGCCCTTGATGTCGGACTGCGTGGGGAGAAAGTGCCTCATCCTAAGCCTGAAATGTCATCCAAGTGACCACGACGAAATCTCAAATGGGAGCACCGTAAATTCGATATGGGACCCGATAGGCTGGCTAAAGGTCATTGAGCGGGCGCGGGTCGGACCCTCAAATACCAGCCAGAGGGCCCGTTGCACCGATTGGGCCTCGGCCTGGACCTGGGAGCCCATTTCCCAAGCAGGGACAAGGGCAGGATTCACAATTTACATTAGTTAGCACACCCCGAACCAATGAGGGGGCCTGTGTCGGCCAAGGGCACACAGCGCCTAACCGGAGATCCGGCGTTGACAAGGGCCCCCGAGTTGGTCAGGGAGTGTACGAGGGTGCCTGAAGATGGGCCGATGTGCCCTTCAAGACTGACGATAAACGGGCCGATGGGAAGGCTGAATGGCCGTAAGGGTCGAAAGGCTGCAGGTCATCCTGGCCCGTATGGCTGTGATCCCAAATGTCAGCCAATGTGCCTCTTTCGCCGATTGTGGACTCCTGGGACAGTGCGGGCATCTATTTCCGCCGAAGATCACACCAAATAGCTGACTCCTGTTGTTCTGAGCCCTGGGGCCCTATTTCTCTAGCAGGAACGAGACTGAGGCCCGTGATTTGTATTGGTCGAAGTCCCTACAACAATGAGTGGTCTTTTGACGGTCAGGCTCTCAGAGTGTCCAACAGGGGGTCCTGTGACGGAAGGAGTCCCGAGTCGGCCAGAGGTGACCCGGGGCCCTTGCGGGGCCCTTCACCCCGTTTTAGCCAAGGGTCCGTTGGCCAAACACGGGTCTCTGTGCCAGTTACTGGATCACCTGCGGTAATCAGAGATCTTGTTGCCCCAATGAGGTCTCTTGCGCCTATTCCGGGTCAAATGCCCCGGCCAGAAGCCGCCAAAGGACCTCCCGCGCCAGGGAGGGCACCAGTGTAGGACGTACATCTGTGAAGGCCTCCGGACGAACCCATCAGGTGAACTCGCCTCCATGTCTCCAGAATCGCAGCTGGTAGACACCCCGGGCTGGGACGTCTTTATGATGGGATGATCGGGTTATCTTTAATGATCTTTATGATCTTTAAGCAATTACCCGGAAGGGTCGTGTGCACCTAACTTTTCACTAATGTTTGCACATTTTACGCATTACATTACACACAACGTTTACACATTACACATTTTCAATTAATATTTACACAAGTTGCTGGCCTTATTTAGATTTACGGTCAATTTTTCCTTCCCTTCATATTATCCCTTCATATCCCTCCATATTGAGGATCCCTTCACGGGATCCTCAATATCTCTGTAGGGTGTGGACTCCCTCCCCCTGGAGGGACGGAGTCCTCTTTATCTTAAGTCCTCCCCCTGGCATTAGAAACTACGCTGCTATCCGGTATGAAAAGCCCAAATTAGAATTCATTGCGCTTAGAAGTGAAGCGAGTTGGCATCATCACGCCACACCGATAGACCATGAAACCACCCACGTAACAGCAGCCGTGGTCGAAACTCGAACCCGGGCTTACCACGTGCGAGACCAGTATGCCAAACATCCATTCACTAGAGACACGAGCCCGGCGGCCGAAAATTTGTGATCAGAATGGACTGGTTCAGAGCGAGTTGATGGATTTCGTGATTGTTTGGTGCCTATCACACATAGAGCCGACTTTTCGCACGGGATTCTGCATATTTGCACTTGCTTTCCTCTAAGGCCGGCCATCCGCGTATGCTTGACATGCACAACCATCTGATTTTTTTTTGGGGGGGGGGGGTATATAAGCCCGGTGCGTAGCCTCCCTCCATGTTGGGGGGTGTATAAGCCTGGTGCGTAACCGCCCTCCGTTTTGGAGGGTGTATACGCTCAGCCGTCCATGTATAGTGGTTTGATCGGGCAGCACTGTACCGCGTGACGGCACTCGTCAGCTTAGACGGCCAATTCGGCTTCGTATCCATTTATCTGGTAATATCTAAGCCTCTAGCTTAATATTTATCAGAAACTGACAAGGATCAATAACCCTTGAGCGTCAAAAACGCTAGATGTCCGAAACTTTGGATGCTGCGAGATGGGATGTTGTGATTATTCTCTGTCCATGGACATCGAACGACTTTTGGTTTATTTTTGTTGTAAACTCCAAATGTTTCAATACTCAATACGCATCCGTTTCTGGGGCGCCGATAATGTAGTGATTAACGCGTAGCGTTAACCATTGCGCGCCTGGGAAGGGGGAGGTACGGGGTTCGATTTCCTGCGGTGCCCGCCCTTCCCGCGAGGACAAGCAGACACCATATACTCCCAGCAGCTAAGTGCATCGAAAAGCCCCAATGACGACGACGCGTCGGCTCCGAGTGGGGAATTCTGCATCGCACACGGCACGCCCTACGCCGCGGCCGTGCCATTCCGGCTCCGCTTCGTCCGTCCAGCCTTCCCACAGCTGGGGAGCCAACTCGCAGCGCTGGCACTCACAGCGCATGTTCCGCGTCCCCCCACCCCCTTAGTACCGCAGCCACGCCTTCCCACTAAGAGGATCAGGCGCTACGCTAAAGCAGGCACCATTCGCTGATGGCCGTAGACTTGGTAAGTTTGTACTTCCGACAAACAACGGCCGCCATGCGGTGTTTATTGAGTACTCGAAAACCACACATTTCTTGACTCCTTCACAGCGTACAGAAACACAAGAACACAAATTCACGTTCGAGCCAAGAGGAGGTTCAGCAGTAACTGGCGTGCCTATGGCATGGCACCTCCAGCCGCCACACCGTCACCCGAATCGACACAATTTTAGCGTCTCACTTTTTCAGGATAATCGATTTTGTATCTTGGCAGCGCCAGCTGTTCTCACTCTTACCCTGGTGGCCGTGTTCTGAACAAATTAACGTTAGCATACCGGCTGCCGAGGTCCGGGGCATTTCGCGAACTAGAAATGCATTGCACAAAATCGTGATTTTGCATTCAAAATGCATTGCTTATAATTCGTTTATAAAATTGCTGTTTCTTCCAGAGCCTGCCAACCTGTAGATTCATCCCGCCCGTAGTGCAGGGTACCGGCACGAGCCCAAAACACTGTACAAAATGGATTCATTGGTGCCCTCTGCCACCCACACTTCCGAACAGCCTCTATCCTATCTAAACAGCGAATTTGGTCGGTACGCAGCTGGTCGACAAAATTGCGACGCATATGACGAGACCACGAGCGGAACATGCCTCACTCAACGCTGGTCTGAACAGCAGAATGCACACATGATTGCACACAAGTGCCTGATTTTCCGTTTTCATGTACGCAGGTTACTTGTTTGCATCGCAAGGTACATTACATATCTCGCACATGACACTGCCCGAAACAAAGGCCAAGAAGTTGGTCAATGTTCAAAACAGACGGCTGCAGCAACGATAATTAATACCAGGAGAGACCATTCATGCTGGACGAAAGATACGACGGCAAGTGCTCTGGAGGAAGAAAGGCGGGACCGTTTCAACGTTCGCGGATGCCACAAACAAGTTAGTACCCACTTCAGGGATGACGGCGATACGCATGCGCCGGTCGAAGGGGTCATGGTCTCAGGCTGGCCTGCGGACGAGTAGGTGTGGGAACGCAGCCAAACGTTCGCCCGTTCAAGGTGACGTCCCAGTGGGTGAGACGATCGCGCGCAACCCACCGGAGTGTGACACTCGCATCCCATCCAACAGTCCCATAACCGTCTCCTGCTCGCTCGCAGAACCCAGCTGGGATCAGGATAACTCGCATGAACGAAAAACAAACGTCCTCGAGTGCTCCCACAGATTCCCAAGTACGTCAACAGTGATGAAAGAACATATAGAAGAAAACTAAGGTCTTAGCCTGTCGGCATCCAACCCGAGCCTCCATCACGACTCCACAGCACGGACCACAGGCCTCTCCACGCAACAAGCGTGCGCCGCCTCGCCGTTCCCCACAGGGCTGCAGCGCCGCGTCGGGCGCGGTCACTCGAGCTCCGACGGCAGACTCATCATGTGGTCGATGTACTTGAGCAGACCTCCCAGGCGGGCGCCCACCGTCTCCTGGTCGAACGCGGAGCAGTTGGTGACGATGCTGTGGAACGACTCGTCCAAGCGGCCGTCGCCCTTCAGCGTCCTCACATATGTCTCGCACCTGCCGGCGGTACCAGGGGCGCTCTGTCAGCCGCGGGAGCCAGACTTCCCGCACACACCCCAGCCGCGGGAGCCAGACGTACCGCACACACTCCGGCCGCGGGAGCCAGACGTACCGCACACACTCCAGCCGCGGGAGCCAGACGTACCGCACACATTCCAGTCGCGGGAGCCAAACGTACCCGCACACACTCCTGCCGCGGGAGCCAGACGTACTGCCCAGACTCCAGTCGCGGCCCCAGCCAGACGTACCGCACACATTCCAGTCGCGGGAGCCAGACGTACCGCACACACACCAGCCATGAGAGCCAGACGTACCGCACACACTCCAGCCGTGAGAGCCGGACGTACCGCACACACTCCAGCCGTGAGAGCCAGATGTACCTCACACACTCTAACCGCGGGAGCCAGACGTACCCACACACGCTTCAGCTGCGGGAGCCAGATGTAACCACAGACACTCCAGCCGCAGGAGGCAAACGCGCCTCACACACTTCCAGTCGCAGAGCCCTACGTACCCACCCACACTCAAGCCAGACCCTGGGCTGACGTTCCGTGAGGCTTTCATGCATCGTGTGCGGCAAGATCACAAGTGCCTTCGTTGATGGCACCTTTATGAAATAACCCACGTGGATCCAACCACAAATCAGACCAACTTTTTGCGATTAGAATGAGAGGTACAAATGCTGTGATAGTGCCATCTTGTGTAGCTCCATTGCAGGTCCAGCGCCCCAGCAGATCTGGCGAGCAGTGCAGCAGTCCGGACTGGACGGAACGGTGGCGTCCCCTGCACACTCACGTGACCCTAGCCTCGGCCGGGTTGTGGCGCGCCGTCAGGATAAGCTGGTCGATCCAGTTGTTGACCATGTGCAGCGCCACCTCCTGGTCCGGCTCGCGACCCACGTCGATGTTGATGTCGACGTTCAGGCACTGTGCCACCAAGCTCTCGCAGGTGGCGTTGGCCGTCTCCCGGTCCCCTGCAGCAGAGAGGGGACCCCACTCACCGGTCTGGGAGAGTCGTGGTCGTCTAGCGAGCGCGACGCGTGGAACCGCCACGCACCCACAGAGACATATAATATACAGAGCACAGCATACATGTGCAGACTGGAAAGGCAGCATGCCATGTCAGCCATGTCAGAGATCAAGAGTCAAACTTCAGGTGTTTGGCTACTTCATCCCATATATAGCCTTGAACCGCAGTGCAAACTTGCACAAGTCCAACTAGCAGTGAGATAAAAAAGGTCAGTGTGCTTGGCTCACTTCACAAAGTTTCAGGTCTAACCCACCATCAGACATCTACACACTTTGAGAAGCATCCACCACTGTGACACCAATACATTGCCAGCTATGGGCCTATGCCACTGGGCATCTCCTGGGTGCAAACCAAACATTTCCTGTCCAAGCTTCAGGCTGCTGCCCATTCCCCAACATCTAGCATACAACACAGCTCCCCATCCATCCATAAGCAACAGCCTGGTCCTCATCAGTCAACAGCCACTCACTGGGGCTAAGGCTCTGCAGGCTCTCCTCATTCTGCAGGATGAGCAGCGTTTCTAGCAGCGCGTCACGCTCCTGCTGCACACGCCGGGCATCACGCATCAGTGCCTCCAGCTGACGCTCCACCAACTGCAGGGTGCGCTTGACAGGGCAGCCAACAGAGGTCGCTGCATCACCACTCCCTGCAGGGCACTCCTCGGTCTCCATGGGATCCGCTGGCCTCTGTTGGACAGGGCAGAGCTCAGTGGACAGAGGGAAGCTGGGTGAGGCAGGCAAGCATGCTATGACTACCACACATCTGCTGCTCTCTGCCTAGTGACCAGACACTCAAGAGATTGACTCCCTTTAGCTGGAAGAGGCAGGAGCTATGAACAGCTAGGCTAAACCACTCACCCAACCATGACCTACCAGGTTCTCTTTCCTTATTCAGAAATATTTTTAGGCTTGTGGTCTTGAAATACTTTGAGGGCCTTATTTTAATGCTGACCATGTTGGCATGGCTGAGGCATGACAGCAACCACTTTGACACCCCATTCACTGAATGCAGAACCACTATTTCAAGAAATTGTGATGTTGCAACAGAAATTTTAGGCAAATACCATCTCAAATATTTTTTCACCTTAAAATTGATTGAACATTCAGCATTAACAACTGTCCTGGTCTGAGTGCAGTATAAGCAGGCATGAAGCCCAGTGCACCATGTCACCAGCCAGTGGGTGAATTTCCTGCAGACTGGGCCCAAGCCAATCCAGAACCCATCCCCTTGGCTATGGTACGGTCGGATAGCGAGCAACTGGTTTTATGGATCCCATCACACAGGGTCAGCCACGGACAACCACGAACAAGCTATCATAGCATACAGATACACGGAAACGTGATTAACCAGCCACCCAGAAACTCCTTCAGACAGCACACGCACTTACCTGGGGTCCACAAACGCACTGCAATTGCACGTTACTGTCGCGAAGGTCACGACTGTTGGGGACAGGCAGCTGCCTTCCCTTCCGCTTCTCCAAAGTCCAAACGCCGATCGTTAATCGACCAGACGCCTTCCGCCCACACTGCCCCTCCCGGCGGCTAGCCCACCCCAAACAACTGTGATACAGGGCTGGGTGGTGGAGGCAATCACTCCAACTCCATACCGGAATACTCTGGAGCTGTGACGTCACGTTATACCCCGAGCAGCCCCGAAACATCGAGATGCACGTGATTGGCTGGCTGGCCTGCAATCATAATGCATCTTCCATTCGATTAGAAATATGACTCTACACAGCCATCGGCTTAATTTAGCTAGCGGTAATTATTCCTAGAAAGGTGGGCTGCACTTTTTGAGGATTGTCTCATACGCTCCCAGCTGAAAAACACTCTCTCGTCGACCATTTGTGAGCACTTCTGGCTACACCCTTGCTCTCATTGGCTGAATTTGGCAACTGATGTCCTTACTCACGGTTTTGTACAGCCAATCACTTTGCTCAAGGTCGTTTGTTTTGTTTTGTTTTCACTCAAGGTTTTGCGCATCGTGTCGCCTATGAGGCCATAAGCTCGAGTTGCGTCAACCCGGAGTGGAGCTCTCTGTGTTGCTCCCATTCGCGGGTATTCGTGCCACTTTGTAAGCTGATAGGCGTTTTGGGAGAGTGAAGTGCGTACTGACACTTGAATTTGGGCCTATCTCAGGGCCCCAACTGGGCGATATTCCCGCTTTACACTGTGTCGTGCTGTTGCGGACTTCCTACCATACCACACGTGCTGCGCATGAGCCTCTAGTAGTCAGCCACTGCGTAAAGTCGATTCGGGCCCTTTCACTAGGATTTGGATTCCTGTGTTTTCTCTTAATGGTCAAGTGCACTGTGAAACTGTTAGTGGCAATACAGAACATTTGTGCCTCGTGCTTGGTTGGAATGATTCACCAGATGACTCAAACTTAGACTAAAAAACATGTTGTGTCTGCACATGTCCGGCATTACCGCGACATTACGGCAATAGTACCAGCACCTGTGTATTGTAGTTCTGAGCTCTTGAGTGCTGTATACAGCTTCCACCATTTTTATTGTACAGAGCTATTTTTTCAAAGAATTATGATTTTGCAAGGATAAATCTGCAGTCTGCAAACCTTGGCAAACATGCTAGGATGTTCAAAAGAGGTAGAGAATGCTGCTCCAATAGCAAATTAAACTGCTCCATTGAGGAACATGTTGTTGAGATATTTTACCCCTTTTAACATGATTTACCATTATATTTGATCATTTTCTGTAATATTCAGTTTGGTGGTTCAGAACAAATTTTATTGATTCCGTAGTCTCATTAAACAATTTCTATCACACAATGTTAGTTGGTTGCACCAAGTTGGAAGTTGTGACCTAACTGTACACCAAGATCTCATCAAAATGTGCTGTGGTTTATGGGCTGGGTGATTTCAGGGAAGCATGTTCTGTAAATATTTTTCTTGGATTTTTTAAAAATATGGCATTATTTGTTATGGCCTGATTTTGGCACATGAGAACATGAGGTTCTGCACACTGATGCTGCAAAGACATTCAGTGTAGTGAATGGGTCTTTACATCCTAGCCCCAACTGACACTGACAAGTCAAAGGTTCCTGAATAGAGGAATAAGGGGCTTATGGTAGTGGTTAGAAGGGGTCTGAATAGGGACTCATCCAGCTTGAGGAAGAGAGATGCTCTAGCTAGTAAGTAGAGGAGCAACCTTTTGGTGTATGAGTAGGGGATGGATAAATACATTCCTCAAACACAGCACAGTGTTTGGCATCAGATTGAAATAATATGAACCTGGCATTCCCTGCATCCCAGTCATGCTGCTCTGTTTCCACAGTTTCTGCACTCAGATGCCCTAGGTCTGAGTGCATTGAGTTTGACACCACAAATTTCAGTGCATACAGACCTCATGTGTCATGGAATTATAATGTTTGATGCTAATTTCAGGTGAAAATAGTCCAAAATGCCCTATTTTTGATATCTGGAAATCATGGAATAAGATTTTATTAATCCTGAGTTGTATGTAGCATACAGGATGAATATTTGCAGACTGTCTCATGGCCAGGGAACACAATATGAACTTGCTGGGAGCAGCAGCCCTTGGCATGCTTTGTCCCGAGAGGTTTCCGGTCCATCCTGTTACAAGGTAGTGTCCTCTTCTTTCCTGACCACATGGTTGAGGTACCCAAAATACCCCTCAGATTAATATCTTTGGAGGCTGCACTGCCTTTATTTTTCTCAGGCTGGTGATATATGACACTGTCTGGTAATTTTATGTAATTGGGTACCATTGGTTCCCCTAGTCAATGTGCTGCATACATCTTGATAGCTCCATGACCTGAGGATCTCACAGTGACAACAGCGTATGCTACTTCCCATACAGGTATGCATCATGACTGATTGGTGGTACTGTAGGTAACAGACCTTGAAGAATAGCTTGGAAGTCCAAAATTAAAGTAAGGCACTGCTTCAGAGGCTTCAATGCTGCTGTTACCACTATGACAAGGGCAATGTACATACTGTAGTAATAAACAATGCTACAGAAATGGTATAGCTAATGAATGGTGACTCCTGTGGTGTTTCAAATTTGTATGCACATCAGAACAGCACATCTTTCTCTTTCTCCCAGCAAAAGTTTGATTGCAAGCATTTTTCTTGTTTTTTAAAATACTGTAGCATACCAACAGGAAAATGCAATTTATTTCCATTTTGCCCATCCACTAGCATATCAAAATAAAATCACAGAATGCCTGTCTACAGGTTATCTGTTTCACTGCTGTTGAGTGGTGTACTGATGAAAATCTGATGAATGCTACAAAAGCCTATTTTGACTTGCAAGGATAATTCCTCAGCATTGCTGATGATGTACATTAAATAAGAAGGATACCAGATTAGTATCAAGAAAATGTTCTAACACAAGTGTTCTAACATTCTTTTCTTTCTTACCTGATAGAACACTTTTTCTTTGCTATGCAGTTTAAATGGGACAGTCTCATGCTTCTAGTAATTTAGCTCCTGACTAAAGGCTAGCCAAATCAGATGTTAAACCACCATATGTTGTATTTGGCAGAGCAAGGCATAGCAGTTACCTTTGTATTGTATTAATGTCAGATGCTCTCTCCATAACAAAATAATCAGACAGCTTGTTATATAGCTCTGGTGTTTGCTGGACAAGTTAAAATGCATGTAGCTTTAAAGCATTAAACATGAAAGTCCAACTATATGTAAACTCAGTCTTAGATGAGCTTGCTTGATTGTGTTGTACTCAGTTTCCACAATGGCTCATGCCTATTTGATTGTGTTCAATAAGTGTTCAATAAGTATTAGAGCTTGCAAAGTTCCAAACTATGGTGTGTTTTTTGGAGAATATATTTGTTCACTGCAGTGTTTGTATATGCCTGAGGTGTCCAGAATGTGCTAATCATGTGATGCAAATTTGTAAGTGTATTTTGATCTCTTGCCATGCTCTCTCTTTCTGTCTACCCTTTTTACATTTATGCATCTTTTCATCTGCAGGTGGACATAATTTATCAGCTCTTAGGGTTCATCATTTGTGAGCCCCATGCTGTACATGGAGAGTTCTGCACCTCCATCCTTCTTTGCAGCCAAATGGATTGTCATCATCATTTCAATATTGGTAAGACACTGTGGGTATGTGCTGAATGTTATTTTGTGTTGTAGGCTCTTTGTTAGCTATTTTGACTGTCCAAAAACATAGCATCAACAGCTTCCTGGTGAAAATCAATTATGCCATTAGTGTGTGATGTTTCAAGCAAAAGACTTTTATGACAGGTGTCTAAGAAAAGTGATTGTCATGTTAAGATTAATGATATCTGAGCTTTGGGCCATCCTAATCCATGACTGGAAATTATAATCTTTGTTATTTATCAGAGTTGACTGTGGTATTTCATGAGGCCATTTCTTAGGCAGTTTTTCATTTATTCTTCAGTAAGTTAGTCCAATGAACTATTACCTCAGCAGCATCACAAACAGGGCCCCTTCTCAGCATAGCTGTTAAGTGGATCTAAATGCAAATTGAAGTAAATTTTGTTTGGCCTGTTAGCTAAATTGTATTTGTATTGTGTATGTATATTTGTGTCATTCGCATTTGATTCATCATCTCCATGGTAGTGTGAACTCCATCCTGATGGTGTGCCTGTGTCTGTGGGTAGTGCTGACTAAATGCTGTCTGTTCTGTGGGCCACACTGTATGCCATGCCCTTCATAATCTCCATGGTAGTGTGAACTCCATCCTGGTGGTGTGCCTGTGTCTGTGGGTAATACTGAATAAATGCTGTCTGTCCTGTGGGCCACACTGTATGCCATTCCCTTCATAATCTCCATGGTAGTGTGAACTCCATCTTGATGGTGTGCCTGTGGCTGTAGGTAGCGCTAACTAAATGCTGTCTGTCCTGTGGGCCACACTGTGTACTGTTCCCAAGTAACATGATTGTGTTTCTCCTCTTGCAATGACCTGGCAGGCTCACCATTTGTGACTTAGCTTCTGAAATGGAAAAGTGTTATACTGTGTCCTGTGCCACCCCTCCCCCAACATTTGCCATTGTAGGGCAGTGTTCTGGGCGCACGTGATAGGTTCGACGTTTTTTTTTGGGGGGGGGGGAGGGGGCGGAGGAGGCATACCAGCCACCTCCAGGGACATCACCAATGCATGGAGCTGGCCAAATGTTATCTTCTAGCCGGGCTACTCTTGTGAGCAATTATCATGTATCCACCACCAGGGAGTGGGCAAGTGCGGGTGGCGGCCGAAGGGTGGCATGGCTGAGATGCCACAGTCGGTGTTTACTTTTCACAGCTGTGTGGTGTTGACTGTACACTTTCATGTTGTGAAAACCATAGCATTGAGGCTGAGCAAACTGCAGGGGGACAGTTGATGATGTCATCAATCATTCCAGCACTGTAAAGATGGTGATGTTGATGACAATGAGGTGGTTTTTGCCATGGCCATATGCTGGCCACACCCGCTGTACCCTCCCAGTAGATGTTGCCTATATGCTGAGTATACTCACCCCAGTGGTCTTTGCTGAACTCTGACTGTACCCTCACAGATGGTGTCATCCGCACCCCGCCCGTGTGGGGCAGGTGGTGTCTTCCGTATCCCGGCTGTACGTGGTGCCCCGTCCCCCTCCGCCTCGGGAGATGTCAGCGACAGCCGGTCCGTGTTGGGCAGATGGTGTCGGCTGTCTCCTGGCTGTACGTGGTGCCCCGTCCCCCTCCGCCTCGGGAGATGTCAGCGGCAGCCGGTCCGTGTTGGGCAGATGGTGTCGGCCGTCTCCTGGCTGTACGTGGTGCCCCGTCCCCCTCCGCCTCGGGAGATGTCAGCGGCAGCCGGTCCGTGTTGGGCAGATGGTGTCGGCCGTCTCCTGGCTGTACGTGCTGTACTACCAGCACAGTGGGCGACGCAGCTGGCTGGTCAGCGGGCTGGTGGCCGCCAGCCTCTCCGTCACGCTGCTGGTGCTCGTCATCATCCCCGTGGACGTGTACGCCATCAGCAGCCTCAAGACCAAGGAGGGCCAGTTTGAGCCTTGGGCGAGCACGAACGCCTCCCGCGCGCGCGTCGAGGACACCATCATGAACGGCTACTACGGTAGGTAGGGCGGCTATACGTGCAAGGCCCAGCGGCGACGCTTGAACGTCGGTCGGCCCACGTAGAGCTCGGGTCTCGGGTCGTGTCGCTGCCTGAACGCCGGTGGGCCCAGCGGAGCCTGCGGCCGGCCCGCGGTGAGCTCGTGTCTCGGGTCGTGCAACTGCCTGAACGTAATGTGACCGTTTTATGTGAGACACGTGCTGGCTTCGATTTGCGTTGCTCGGATGGCTGCCGATTTGCCGCGCTAAGCGAGCTGTTCTCGTTGTGTGTGATATCCACGTGCCACGGGCGTGTGATTGCTGTGCCAATAAGCGGCCTGTTTCTCTTTGCCGGGGGTGACTCCTGCCGATGTAACGGCATTTTGCTAGCTGGTTAGAGTGAGTGGTGTAATTGTGTTTTGAGACGGCGGGAGGCTTGGTCCATCTGGGTGACGTCTTCGGTTGTGTGTGAGAGAACAGATCAATGTTTCTGAAAGATGGTGGAGCGTTAGAGCGTGGTCAGAAACATCAGTAATGGATGAATGTATGAGGGTGACATATCTTCTGCCGTCAATAATGTTGGATCGTGATGAACATAAGTTGCATTGGGTGCGACTGCATGCTTATGTGACGCCAAGTGTTCGCTAGGTACTATTAGTCGAGTTACGTGAAACCGTTGATGATTTCAAGGCCATTTGCCTGCAGCTTAGGTGAAGTAGAAGCTGTTTAATGCCTTCTTGCTTCCAGTGCTCTACTCTTTGGTATTCTTCGTGGTGTTCTTCCTGATGCCCTTCGCGTACTTCTTCTATCGGGAGCCGAGTGATCAGGAGACGTGAGTAACGATAAAAAGTAGGACCTGTGGAAGTGTCCTACTTCCTTTGTCATAAAAGTGCTCGCCCATCGTAAAACAGTTTTAACTGCTGTGGACATGAACTGTGCAACTTGCACGCTATTGGTGTTGACTTTACTTTCGATTCATGCTCTGCAAATATTTTGGTGTGGACCCCTTCACTCACTCGAGGGGCATCTAGGCTTCCCGCTAGCATGTGGCCAGACATGCTTGAGGAAGGATGTTGCAGAGTTATGACCCAGATAACCAGTGTCCAAACACGCGCAAGTTCAAGGGAGTGAAGTTGATGCGCAAGCAATACGATAGTTCCGTGGTACCTCGTAAGCAAGCTTGTACTTTTGAAACGCTGCTGATATGTCGTGAGGACTCAACCGTGACAGGCCGTTTGAAATCTATCGACACGGGGAGCAGGCATTCAGCTAGAATTCTCAGCAACAAAAAGGACGTATCAATGTTCGTTGATTTCCCGGTTGATAACCGTGCAAGCGTGTAAGGGATACCAGTTGTTGGCCTCGGCGATAGCGCGCGCGGATGCCCGGCGCCTAGCGGACCCGCTAATGGGAGCCCCGCTATCGCTCGGCAGCGGCGCGCCGGAACCGACGGCCAAGCAGCGCGCTCGCACTGCCGTCAAGTACTCGCTGGCGTTCGTGCTGATGTTCACGCTGCTGGTGGGCCTGGGCCTGCTGGTGCCGTTTGCGCCGCCGCCGCCCACCAACTCCACCGAGTGGCAAGAGTTCCGCTTCATGGTGCACGAGCTGGAGACGGAGGGTAGGTGGCTTGGCTGGACATGGAGAGCTGTCTGAGGGACTGGGGTCAGCTCGCCCCAACGGTGTGTCACCGCCCTGACCGCTCAGCACGTAGCTAAGGGCAATGCTAAGCGCATTGCAAAATGTGTTACCTGAGGCGCCAGTCGGAGGCCTCCAAGGGAAGGCTTCCTCACAAACGGGTTGTGCAGTGCGTATTCTACACATTGCATCGCGTCACATGCGTCGTGTGGTGCTGCATATCGGCGTAAGTGGCGTAGCTTTTCGGAAAAAAACTTTGGAGCAGACCGCACGAATGAGCCTTATTGTCGTGGCGCCTCGTTCTCGCTGTGAGTTGAGCACGTCTGGTCGACTGCGTCGCCGCCGCCTCGCTGTGTGCGTGTCTGATGCCGGCCGGCCCGGCAGCCGGCGAGGATGTGGTCTCGATTCTGCTCTACTCGCTGAGCCTGGTGGGCATGTGCGCCATGATCGGCTACACGGGCCTGGGCCTGTCGCTGTGGCCGATCGGCCTGCTGCGTGGCCGCGAGAGCGCCCAGGAGCAGCGCGAGGATGTGCGCCAGGAGCGCCGCCGCCTCCAGCTGCAGATCAACTCGCTGCGAGACCAGGTGAGCCGCTCCGATCACGTGGTCCTGCGGCGGCCACCGGCCCGGCCGTGTGACATGGTGAGCCACCCCGGTCACATGGCCCTGCGGCGGTCGCCGGCCGGGTCGCCCGCGGTCTGTTAATTGGACCAATGCCGAACTTGCGGTGAGTCTGGCCGTCCGTCGGTGACGGTTGAGACGTGTAAGGATGTGTGCTGTACGATTAGAGAGTTGATCTGTCTTATGTTGTATCGCGGGTGTGACGACTCGCGAAGCACACCAGCATATGCTTGCCATCTTCATGTTCGATAGCTGTAGGCGATCCTTATAGTCGGCGACCAGTGGAAAGTCTTGCTATGTTGAGTACTTCCCTGGCACTGGCTTGCCATCTGCATGTTCGATAGCTGTAGGCGATCCTTATGGTCGGCGACCAGTGGAGAGTCTTGCTATGTTGAGTACTTCCCTGGCACTGTACTCGATCCACGTGATCACGTCTTAGGCTCTCCTCGTGAACTTTGGCCTGACGTCCGTTGCCACTTATCAGCTATCTTAGACCGAACCAGTGTCGTCCACCCCCTGTGTTACCCCTTTCTGTGGTCACTGCAGTCCCGTTCGGTCCTCTGTGTACTGTAGTTATGGACGTCAGCCTTCTCGTCGCTCCTGTGTGCGTGTGACTGGCACCGTTTCCCTGTCTGCCCCACCTTCTGGGTTCGCCGCTGCCGGCGTGAGCCCAGTGCCATCTGTCCGCCGGCAGGCCAACTACTCGACGTTCCCGTCGTGGCAGGCCGACCGTCTGGCCGGCCTCGAGCGCGAGGAGGCGGCGCTCGGCAGACGTGAGCTCGAACTGAATGAGGCCGTCGCCGCCTGGCTGCACAGGTGGGCACGGCTGGCCGGCGGCCGATAGGCGAGCGGGCGCCGCTGGGCGATGGGCGACTGGGCGAGTGGGCGAATGTTTCGGAGGTAGAGTGTGGGCTCGCCTCTCGTGCCGGCCGGCCGGGCGATGCTGGCAGGTCTTTGCTGACTCAGTGTAGTGTGTCTTCCTTTTTCCTGGAGAGGTGAGACCTGTTTTTGGCTGGTAAATCGAGCTCATGCTAGCTTCGAGTTGAAACTTGCTGTACGCACGAATGCTGGACACGCAAGAGATGGATCGTGCAGCTGGAATCCATGTCGTTTCCATCCAGTTCAATCTAATTATCCAATTCATCGCACTGCATGTCGTGAAGAGCTGGACTCCAGGGCTGGCCTCGGCTGACCATTGATTGTTCGGTCGTGTTCTGTGTGTCGCCGGAGGCGCCTCAGCGGACGTCGCTAGGTTCCACGACACGTGCTCCGTGCGTGGCCATGCCGCATCACCGCTGCACCCGCGTTACCGCGGACCTGACCGGTGTTGTGCGTACTGTCGTCAGGTGCAGCAACTTCCTCCGGCCGTTCGAGCTGGTGCTGGGTGTCACGGTGGCTTCTGTCGGCGCTGTGACCTTCACCGCGCTGCTGCTCAGCAAGTGAGATGGGTGACGACGGCGTCGTGACTGAACGTGTTACGACATCGTGCCCTGTCGATCCACACTGGCCGAGTGCCGTTTGCAGTCACTCAAGTGGAATTATTGAGGTTGATGTCTAACACAATGCATGTGCAGCTGTTCTGTCGGACGGTCCGTCGGCAGCTGCATCTAAATCAAGCTCGCATCTTGTCACACGGGCGCCCACACCCAAACCCTGTGCGGTGGCCTGCCTGGTGGTGTTCTGAATCCGGACTCCGGCCCCAGGTCCCAGGTCTGCTGCGGTCCCGCGTCGGCCTGCGCGTCTCAAAGGGAGGGTCCAGGCTGACCACTTCCGTCCCCGGCTAACCGTCCCATCCCCCTTCTCTGCCGCAGCATCGACAAGGCTCTACACTCCCTGGGTATGAAGTCGGGCTACATCTTGCCGGAGCGACAGTTGCCCAACCCGATGGACTGGTTGCTGCAGCAGACGGACCGCGTGTACCCGCTCGACTACATCCTCTACTTGCTACTCATCTTCACGCTGTTCGGCGCCACCGTCAGCTGCATCCAGGACATCGGCGTGCGCGCCTTCGCCGTCAAGGTGCGCCGTCGTCTGTCTGCCCCGCAGCTGTGCCGCGCCTCCTCTGACGCGTGGAGCACGCGTCAGGGCTGCTGGTGATGTGCTCGGCGGTGCCCGCTCGCCTGACGCCCGCGTCCGATCGCAGCTGTGCCGCGCCTCCTCTGACGCGTGGAGCACGCGTCAGGGCTGCTGGTGATGTGCCCGGCGGTGCCCGCTCGCCTGACGCCCGCATCCGTTCGCAGCTGTACGCGGTGCGGCCCGGCCGGACCCGGCCGCACGGTCTCATCCTGCTGGTGCTCAGCCTGGTGTACGTCCTGCTGGCGCTGAACGTCATGCTGCTCTCCATCGCGCCCCACTACACCATGTACGGCGACCAGCACTACCGGCTGCTGATCCCGCAGCCCGACAACACCGACACAGTCGAGGTACGGGTCGGACGTCAGCTGGGGCGCCGAGGGACCCGCGCGGCTGGGGAGGCGTCGGCGCCGCCCGGGATACCGAGGGACCCACGCGACTGGGGAGGCGTCGGCGCCGGCCGGGGTGCCGAGGGGCCCGCGCGTCTGGGGAGGCGTCGGCGCCGGCCGGGGTACCGAGGGACCCACGCGTCTGGGGAGGCGTCGGCGCCGGCCGGGGTACCGAGGGACCCACGCGACTGGAGAGGCGTCGGCGCCGGCCGGGGTAGAGAGGGACCCACGCGACTGGGGAGGCGTCGGCGCCGGCCGGGGTACCGGGGGACCCGCGCGTCTGGGGAGGCGTCGGCGCCGGCCGGGGTACCGAGGGACCCGCGCGTCTGGGGAGGCGAAGACTCCGGCCGGGGCGCCGAGGGACGCGCACGGCTGGGGGGGGGGGGGGGGGGGGGGGGGGCAACGCCATCCGGGATACCGAGGCACCCGTGCTCCTGGGGAGGCGGCAACGCCAGCCGTTGGTGCGGGTTTAGCACCATATAGGATGGTGCCAGCTAGGAGGTAGTGAATAAACCACATGTCTGAATATATGGCATTGCAACACGCTCAGCAGGCCAGATGTGGCCGTGGTGTGAGCTGCAAGGCATGTTGTGTTTTGTCTTGTTGACTGGACCATTTCTGTGCGACCGGGTTTTGCGACGCCTACGCGATCTGGACAGCGTCATCGGCCTAGAGGGCGCCGCTGGGCTGGCAGAGGGCGCTTCCGGGCCGACATGGAGCGCTTCCAGGCTGGCAGAGGACGCCTCCGAGCTGGCAGAGGGCGCCTCCGGGCCGGCAGGGGGCGCCTCCGGTCCTTCAGGGAGCACCTCAGGGTTGGTAGAGGGCGCCTTCGGACCGACAGGGCGCGCCTCCGGTCTTAAAGGGGGCGCCGCCGTGCCCGGCTGACGCGGTGCCACCGGCCGGCCTGCCGCCAGGTGCTGTCCTGCTCCACGCGGGCGCCGGCCGGCGAGTGTGTGCTCAGCCGAATGGCGCTGCTGCTGCTGCGCTTCTCTTACAAGGCCTGGATATTCGGTGCTGTCTTCTACTGGGCCACCTGGCTCTTCCTCGTGGTGAGCGCGGACGTGGCGGACGTGAAGGGCGGACGTCAGCCGTCAGGAAGCTGCTGCCTTGTGTTACCATGGGGTTGAATCGGACGGCGCGAACAACTACTTGCTTGGATAAGAAACACAAGTCGCTGTGTTTTATACTTTTCTGTACCGCGCAGAAGTTTCAATCAGTATGACTAGGGTGGCGCGTAACGTCTGTAAAGCATTGTCTGCTCAGCGCTCTCGGGCGATGACAGCAGGGCATCGACATCGGCCGACAGCCTGCGCAGACGAGTGAGTGACCATGCCGTGCCCCTGTCTGACCGGCCACCATCCCGTGCAGACGAGTGGGTGACCGTACCGTGCCCCTGTCTGACCGGCCACCATCCCGTGCAGGCGAGTGGGTGACCGTACCGTGCCCTGTCTGACCGGCCACCATCCCGTGCAGACGAGTGGCTGACCGTGCCGTGCCCCTGTCTGACCAGCCACCATCCCGTGCAGACGAGTGGGTGACCGTACCGTGCCCTGTCTGACCGGCCACCATCCCGTGCAGACGAGTGGGTGACCCTGCCGTGCCCTGTCTGACCAGCCACCATCCCGTGCAGACGAGTGGGTGACCGTACCGTGCCCTGTCTGACCGGCCACCATCCCGTGCAGACGAGTGGGTGACCGTACCGTGCCCTGTCTGACCGGCCACCATCCCGTGCAGACGAGTGGGTGACCGTACCGTGCCCTGTCTGACCGGCCACCATCCCGTGCAGACGAGTGGGTGACCGTACCGTGCCCTGTCTGACCGGCCACCATCCCGTGCAGACGAGTGGGTGACCCTGCCGTGCCCTGTCTGACCGGCCACCATCCCGTGCAGACGAGTGGGTGACCCTGCCGTGCCCTGTCTGACGAGCCACCATCCCGTGCAGACGAGTGGGTGACCGTACCGTGCCCTGTCTGACCAGCCACTCCCCCGGTCCGTGCGTGACGTCCCTGTCGGCCGGCAGTCGGTGGTGGTCGGCTTCTTCTTGGCGCTGTGCCGCCGCCGGCCTCAGGAGGGCGCCCTGCCCTCTGAGGAGGACCGCCTGCTGGACGCCGTCGACGCCTGAGCGGGCAGCCGGCGGTGGTCGGCTGCGGGGCCGCCAGAGCCCGGCCGGCGCGCGCCGCCCCCAGGCGGCCAAGGGCGGCCGGTGATGCACTGGACAGATGGCTGCCGGGCGGGCAGCAGAGGAAGGACGCGGCGTTCTAGTCGGCCCAGGCAGCAGGCCGGGTCCGCCGGCAGCGGGCGGGATCGGTCCGCCTCCCGGTCTGCCGCTTGTGCTGTGACCGGGCTACCCCATAGGCTGTAAGGTAGTGGCGCGGCTTGTGCATGTTGGCTAGCGTGATTGGCGGCTTGTTTTGGATGGAGAATGCCAGTTGTTCTCTCGTCTTCAGCGGTAGCATGTCGCACCCGGGGTATGTCTGTAAGATCTCGGATTAATGTTTAGTGTCTGGGTTTTCTTTTCTCCGAACGAAGGTATTGCAGTTCCTTCTCTGTATTCCCTCGCAAAAGAAACACAATTCCGCCGTTGGAAAGACATTCACAAAGCCTATCGTGAAGTGTGATGGTGCGCGTACATTTCATTTATCGTCTAGTTAATTCCGGCGTCGTCGCGCGTTCAGTTGACACTGCTGTATGCTGCGGTAATGAGTTTAGGTCAGACGGAACCCACGTCCCATTGTACTGAGATGGCGCTGCGCACTTTTTAGGTCGCGAGTGTTACCTTTAATCACACCCTTCGGTGGCCTAAGACAAGGCAGGCGACAAGCCTTGAGCCTCCATTTAGGCTGTTCAGATTTTCTCGCATCCTGGGTGACCGAATTGCTCTGCGACAGGCATGGCGAGAAATTGTTCCCTGGATTTTGTACGAACCAAGTGATATGCCAAGGTTCACAGGACAGATCGCATGGAGTTGGCTGATGTGATCAAGGCATGAGGTGGGTGAGCGTCGGTTGCCCAAAGATGGGCAGTGACTGCCTGACCGCTAGCTTCACAATGTACCATGCATGAATGAGTGCTGTGTCAGCTCATGGGCAGTGCATCTGACCTGAGTTGCCACTCGACGAAACAGCGAAATGTATATTGTGAGAAGTGAGTCGATTATTTATTCGCATTGTAATTGAGCTGAGCGATTGTCGTGGATATTGTGAAGGAAGCTTAGTTCAGGGCTTGGTGTTTATTCAGGAGTTGCTTTTGAGTTATGTTAAACTAATATACTCGCTAATCGCTGGCACACTTCCCACGTTTCTATAATATGTATGTTTTGATTGGCCTCAAGATGTATTTGAAGAGGATTTCCTATTGCAGAGGCATCCTCCGCCAATGCGGGTTTCGGTAAAACACGGATGATAAGTGGCAAAGTGGTGAAGGCGTGCAGAACACGCAGAAAAAGTCGCGGAAGCGTTCTAAAATATATCGTCCCTTGCTCAAAGACGTAATGCCGATCATTTCCACAAAGTATGCGTTTACGACGCCTCGTGTGACCTGGTATGAGCGAGGCGGTAGCAGAACTAACAGTTGTCTGCTTTTATGGTGCAGACGATGCTAGTGCTCGCCAGTGGTCCCAGGGCGACCGACGCCAATGAGTGATTAACGTATTATAAAGTCCTCATACCAAGTTAACCCGTGCGGATCCAGTGGTGTACGGGCACGGGCGTGTTTACGCACAAACTTTGGATGGCCATTGGTGACCGCATTGCACGCCTTTGTGGTCGCCTTGACCCAATCCGTCGGTTTAGCACACCGCCGGTGCACACCGTGCGCACCGCGTTCGCCGTTGGTTTCAACGAAGGCGACACCGACCGCTTTCCGGTAGAGTGCTGACGCCTGTGAACGGATCAGACATCTTTGAAGGACGTTAATGCGTGTTAGCCGGTACACTCATCCACACAGTGCGGCTTTTTACGTCCGTATGTAGTCTGGCTGCTGACGACCCGTACGGGTCGGCGGCTTTTGGCTCACATTTTTGCTGATACGGCTGACTTAGAGCTATTTTGATCAGTATTGATCATTTCTTGCCTGTGATATTAAAGAGAGAGGGAAAACTAGAAGGACAATGGTGAGGCCAACGTGGCAGCCCTCCACCAGCGAGCCCTACCATACGCAGGTTTTTGGTGCTTGTGTGGGCACTCTGGCCAGGCTCCCACCAGGGCGGCCGTGAGGCCGGCTCCCGTCGAACGGTCGCAGAGGCAGGTGTGAAGTTAGCAGCAGTTCAGTCTTCACACCCAGCATAAATCGACGACCCACCCGATCTTTACAAACTTGTGCCAAAGGAACCCTATAGTGCACTGATAGCGTACGCCAAGTTTTTGTAAGGTTCCGAACAGTTTGACCTCCAGAGGTCGTAAAGGGTCAGCCAATATGTGCCTACAAACTTGATGCATGTTGTACCCCATTCGTTCGGGGATTTTACGCAGATGCCAGAAAGGCCCTTAAAAAGACCTAAACTAAACAGATCGAGACATTCCTGAAATATATATATATATATATATATATATATATATATATATATAATATATAGCGTATAAAATACGGCCATAATGCATATATGTATATATATATATATATATATATATATATATATATATATATATATAATCAAGGTTTTGAGGCGGAAAGAGTTAAGCACCTGAACTGGACTGCAGGTCACGCCAGGTCATGCTATTTATTTTGTTTAGGGGCGTTTAAGATGTAAAACCACTCAAATGAGGGGATTTTTCATTAAACTAAAGCGGACGCAAATCGGGTTCGGCACATTAACCTACCCTGCTCAACAATCATCACGTATTATACCTGAACACAAGGAATATCGATTTGGCATGCGGTGACGTCGAGAGGTTTAACTTTTTGATGCCCGTGAATAACCGAGAAATGAACCCTTCTCTGAGTTCTACATTTGTAGTGTTTTTAAAGAAAGCCAAGGTGATCGGAGTTTTTGCAAGTCGTTGGGTGGCACGTCAACGTCAGCGAGAATAATGCTGTGCGACAGGAACTGGTTGTTTCCAGGCATTTATGTGTATAACTCATGAACTAGGCCCCACGCGACCGAGCAATCGGCGCCATTCAACTAGGCATTACATTTGCTCTCTGGTAACATGTCACGATTGCTTGCGTGAGGTCATCACTTGATGTGATGTTACTGGCAGTCTTGCTCAGGTGCTTGCTGTTCCCTGAAACTTTGATTCAATTCGTGCGCACGTTCCAATAAAACAGGCGAATATCAGTTTCAGCACATTAGGTTACCCTGCAGATCGCAGCCATCAAACGACACTATCTTTAGATATACATTGTATAGATCTTGCGGGGATAACTTTCGATCTGTTGGGCCTAGGACTATTTAGAGAGGATTTCTGGAATATACGCAATGTTCCCGACCGGGTGGTTCACAACAGGGGTCGCGTTTGTTGTCACACATCGGTTGACCCTTTATGACATATGGAGGTCAAACCACTCGATGCCTTACAAAAAGTCTGTTTGTACGTTATCAGGGCACTTTGGGGTTTTTTTAGCACAATTTTCTTAAGACTCGAAGGAGTCATCGATTTTTGCTGAACATGAGCACCGAACCGGTGCCAACTTCACACACGCCGCACAGGGGGGTGGGGGGGGGGGGGGGGGGGGGCGGCGAGACAAAGCGTTACGGTGGGGTGCGTGTGTTATGAGAGCACGCAATGAATCTGGCAGTGGCCATGGTAATGTACATGCTCAATGCTAAGCCAAAGCTTCGTATTCAAATAGGCAGGGTGCGTATAAGACTGGAAATGCCTCGTCGCTGTTCAGGCCGTCTTTCAAAAGACATCGTTATAATTAATCTTTCAACGTCCTAAAACGTCCGATACACGGCACCATCCTGAAGGCTGCTCGAAACAGACGTCTTCACCGAGAGGGTTCGATAACCCGTGTCGAGCTTAGGGCTTAACAGCATCCCGTTAGATGATGCCAGTAGTTACTCAAAGCAACGACTATCAAATTATTTCCAAGCGTACCTTACCTGAAAACATAACTCGAATTGCATCTCAAGATGACTTGTGTCCATTAGCGTTTGGCTAAGGCTACGGATGTGCAACGAACTTGTTATCTTGAGGCCTACGTTGTCTTGTTCTGTTGCTATATCGACGTTTGTTGCACTACGAGCCGCATGGTCGTATGTTATTTTGCTGCTTGCCTGCCGCGCGCTGGAACTCACTCTGCCTGCGGCCTTCCTTTTGAAAGTAAATCTTAGCCGAAAGACTGTGGCTGAGATCCAACAAAAAACTGGTCGATGACGGTGACATTTCGCGAGAGCGAATCATTGACAGCTCTAAAAGATTGGCACGTGCATGTTGCCGATTTTTTGCTTGAAAAATAAACACCGTTTTCTGTCCTTCGTTCTCACGTCAAGACAGCATCAAGATTGCTCGGTTACGTCATCTTATCTCAGACCAAACCAGAATGAGTTTTAATCATCACCCCACCGCACACTACAATACAGCATATTCGTGACAGTCGTCTCGCGGGGAGTGCAGCCGACATCATCACCGCATCAGCATCGCTTATCTGAACCCTGCTCTGCCCCACGCCCACCATGTGTCCAGCAGCCAACGCCGGTATGAAGCGGCACCTTGCCATGGCGACGGCCCCTTCGACCGAGTCGCCGGCGCCGCGCCTGGAGGTGCGCCGCGCGCGGCCTGAGGACCGCGCGCGCATCGATAGCCTCGAGTGGGAGCACAAGTGGACGCAGCAGGTTTACGGCTACACCAAGGTGACCGCGCAGATGGAGCACGCCGCGCTCAACGTGGTGGCCGAGGATGACGAAGGCACGGTGCAGGGGTTCGCTGTTTACAACTGGCACCCGGACGAAGCGACAGTGCCGGACCGGCGCTGGCAGCCGTGGCTGCGCAGCGCGGCGCCGCTGCTCGACTCACGCCCCCTCAGCCCCGCCACGTGCCTCTTCCAGACGCAGCTCGTGTGCGCCCAGCCGGCCGTGGGTGCCGTGCTCCGCGCCGTCCTCACCTGGCTGTTTTCGGTGCTGCCTGACCTGGATCGCGTGTTCCACGCCACGTGCTGCCACCAGAGCGAGCTGGGCTTCCTCGAAGAGGCGAACTTCCGCATCATCAGCGAGCGCGGCGCGCCGGTGCCGGTACTGGAGCTGGAGCGGCGCCGATACGTGCCGCGCCTGGCCTCGCGCCCTGCCCGTCTCGAGGACCACGACGATCTGCGCGAAATGTTCGCCGTCGACGAGCAGCGGCTGAAGGAGGCGTACGGCGAGTTCTTCCTGGCTGAAGTGATAGCGGACGAGCGGGACTCGTCCTTCTCGGCCGTAGTGGAGGTGGACAAGCTGGCGGTCGGCATCATGAGCGTCACGACCGAGGTCGACCTCGACATGCTCAACGACAACTTCGAGCTGGCGCCATTCCACGGCCTTCGGAAGAAAACCACAGATGACACGACCGGCTTGGCCAGCAGACTGTCTGACGAGGTGATGGGGGTACGGCCCTCCCGGCTGTCGCCAGTCACGGAGGAAAAGGCCGACGAAGAAGAAAGCAAAACGGACGCTTCGGATAGCAAGGACGGAGAGGCAGCGTCTACAACAGAGACAACGACGGATGCATCCAAAACAGCGGCTGTTGCGGATCCTTCCAAGACAAATAATGAAACAAATGCATCCAAATCCGGCTCCACAGTAGATGGTCTCAAAGGAGCAGATGCCGCAAAAGATACAGCGAGTGGTGAGGCAGATGGCACATCGAAGTCAAAAGTGGACGTAGATGGTTCAAATGCAGGTGATTCAAATGCAGATGGGACAAACAATTCATCAAATTTGGGGGCTTCAAAGTCAGATGGACCTGTGAATGCTCCAGGAGAAGATGGGGCAACCGGTGATACGAAGGCAGACAGCACAATGGCTGTGTCCCAACAAGAAAGCAAAGCAGATGAACAAACCGGTCCTCCGTACACCGCAGTGCCCCAAACTGACAGCTCAACTGCTACATCCGAGCAAAAGGGCAAAGAGGGTAACAATCCAGGGACGCCAAAAACCAACAGCGCGCCGGATGCGACTGCCGGCGCTGACGCTGATGCATCTCGCGCAGACAGCACCGCTGAACCCGAGGTTGGAGACTCGGCCGCGGACGTTGCCGCCGCCTCGGCCTCCGCAGCTGCCGTCGCCTCCGCCTCCGCCTCTGCCGCCTCTGCCGCCTCCGCCTCCGACTCCGACTCGGCCTCCGCCTCCGCCTCCACCTCTGTCTCCGCCTCCGCCCCCGCCACCGCCGCCGCCGCCGCCGCCGCCGCCGCCGCCGCCGCCGCCGCAGCAGTCGCAGCAGCAGCTCGAGCACGGGGGCCGCGGGTGGTGCCGCTGCTGGAGCAGCTGTGGGGTCCAGAAGTGCTGGCTCCCGGCTTCGGCGAGCTCGAGGAGGAGGAGGCGCCGATCCCAGACGACGAGGAGCCGGACGGCAGCCGGCCCGTGCTCGAGATGATCTGGGGCTACCCGGTGTCGGCGGACGGCCGCGTCACGCGCAAGGTGAGCACCGTGCTGAGCGGCCTCTCCACCGAGCCGGTCACCGGGCCGCCGCCGCGGCCGCGCGCCGTGCCGCACTACCACGGCGCGCCCAACGCGGCCGCCATCAACCTGTTCTGCATCCAGGAGGAGCATGCCTGCCGCTCGCTGGACCTGCTTCCGGCGGTGCTGGCGCGCCTACCGGACGTCGACTATCTGGTGATGACGGTGCCGGCCGACGAGCCGGAAACGCCGCTGACGCAGCTGTTCACGCGCGTGCCGCACCGCGCCACCTCCACCTTCCCCGGACAGTTGTACGTGTTCCACCGAGCGTCGCTCATCACGGACTTCGAAGTGGCGAGCGCGCGCAGCAACGAGCTGGGAGACATCCGCGCGCTGGTCAAACACACGGACGCCGCCGAGACGCTGATGCAGACAGTGCGCGGGCTGTTCATGGACAACGCCGCCGAACACACAGTGCTGGTGGTGCGTTGTGCGGACCAGGTGGTGGGTGTGATCGTGGTCCGGCACGAGGTCGAAATGGAGTACGTCCGCTCGCACTTTGAGGTGGAAGAGTACGTGACGTTCGAGCACCACGACCAGCGCGACGGCTTCGGCCACCTTTACCACTTCGCGCTGAACCCCATCTTTCAGCGGTACGCGGCCGTCATTCTGGGCGAGGTGATGCGGCTGACGACGTTCTCAGTGCTGCTGTACCCGGTGTTTCCGCCGGGCTCGACCGACACAGAGGGCCACAGCCTGACCTCGGCGCTGGAACAGCTGTGGCCAGTGGCCTGGCGCCGCCAGATCCAGTACCCGCTGGTGCAGGGCACGCTCGGCGTCAACATCCCCAAGCCGCACATCCTGCAGCACGAGGAGCCGCGCACGCTGCAGCTGACCACGCGCGGGGCCGTGCTGCGCCAGCGCGCGCGCATCAACAGCAGGGTGGTGGTGGTGGGCGGCGGCGACGCAGGCCTGGCCGTACTGGAGAGGCTGGTGTTCTCGCGCGAGCTGCTCTTCACCAACCTGACGCTTGTCGAGCCGCACGGGTTCCAGGGCGACTCCGAGGCCGGAGCACTGGCGACCGACATGTGCACTTCTACCGAGAACTTCCAGCCGTATCGGCTGGCCACTATGTGGCTGCGCACCTGGGTCAACTTGGTGCGTGGCGTCATGCACACCATAGACAGGTGACAGTGGGAAGGGGACGGACAACGGGACTATTGTGTTGCGTCCTTTTTCAGATATGTGAAGATGACACAGCTGTTTGAATGTAGCCATGCAGGTGAAAAGACAACGTTCCAAGCTGCTTGATCGCCTGGTCAGAACATACCCCAAAGTTCCTTGTTTCGTGACCTGTTTGCTTCTGGCGTTACCTATTACATCAACGTCACGTCAACACCAACACCTGTGAGGCGTCAATGTCTGACGCCTCGGACCGTCGCCCCGTTCCGACCCCTCGGACCGTTGCCACCGTTCCGACTCCTCGGACCGTCGCCCCGTTCCGACCACTCGGCGGTCACAGTCCGGTGTCCGGCAGGAAGCGCAAGTGCATCCTGGTGTCGGGCGCCGCCGAGATCCCGTACGACTACCTGCTGCTGACGTGCGGCCAGCAGTTCCAGCTGCCGGCGCGGCTGGTGCCGCGGCCGCCGCGACCGTTCGCGGACCGGCCGCCGCTCTTCCCGCCTGCCCAGCTGCCCGACACGCCCGACAACGTGTTCCGCGTCAACTCGCCGTTTGACGCCGAGCGCGCGCTTGAATACGTGCGCGCGTATTGCCTCGAGCGCGCCGGTGAGTGGGCGCGGCAGGTCCCCGCAGCGCTGCCGAGGTGCAGCTGGGAGGGGCGCTATGCTGTGGCGTTTCGACGTCGGAAGTTCCTCCCGATTCAGCTGCGCATACCGTCACTTTAAATGGGATTAATAGTTATAATTTAAAGTATAACTGGGCCTGATTCACTTCTAGGTACTGCTGAATTGCCAGCATTGTCTGACTAATGCTCTATCGATTACCTCCTCTAAGCTTCCCCAGCGGCCTCCCAGCAGGTCCGTGACTTGCAAACAGACCCTCTGTCCGCTGCTCCTGCCACCGTCACCCCACCGCAGAGAACGTGATCGTGTACGGCTGCTTTCTGGAGGCGCTGACCTGCCTGGAGACTCTGATCCAGCTGCCGGTGCCGCCGCACCGCCTGGTGCTGGTGCTGCCGCCGGACGCGCACGGCTCGCCGCCGCAGCTGACAGACGACCCCCAGGTGCTGGAGCCGGGCTCGCTGCCACAGCTCACCTGACGCCAGGCCAGCGGTGCTCGGCCCGGCTGGTAGCCGGCCTCGGGAGAGAACAGGGCCCTCACTCAACACTCGACCAAGTTCAGGCACCGAGTTATCGGCAGCACGTGCTGTTCCCGATATAGCGCCCCCAGATAATGCTGTTTCTGACACTTTTGTATATTTTTGGGTTTAATCTCGTCGGCTTTCTCAGCTATTGGGCTTTGATACGGACATACGGTCTGTAATAAGTACAAACGCAGATGTGAATACGCGTGGAATGTGGATTTTGTTGTGAAATGAACGCCTTGTTTGCAATTCCTCTCCATGTGCGTCAATTGGCTCACGGCTGTTCGCTATGTGGACTGATACACGGGAGGGGGAGTAATGCCCGAGCGAGTAGCACCTTCGGTTCCCATGTGAGGGGCCCAATTCGAATCCCAATTGCGCCTTAGCCCTTGAGCGCTAATATGGTCACAGCAATCGCTGGGCCTTTATGAAAGGGGGCGTGACGACTTGCGTTACGTTCCCTTTAACACAGATTCAGAGGTTTGTTTGACCAACCCTTGGTGTAGGTGGACCGCGGCATCTTCCACAACCTCAAGTCGGCTGGGAACGGCATCCGCATCCTGGAGGGCTACACGCTCACCTATTGGGACACCAAGTCCAACAACCGCATCTACAGGGTCCAGCTGACGAGCGAGGCCGCCGAGACTAAGGAACGCTACCTCTCCTGCTGCGGCCTCTTCGTGTACGACCACAAAGGCGTGGAGCTAGTGACGTTCAAGGCGCTCAACGACGCCTCACTGGTGTTCGACGGCAGGCTGGTGATTGATCATCAGTTCAGCACCAATGACGCCAGCATCAGAGCTGTCGGTACCATGACCAAGTACTCCAGGAGGTTAGTGTAAAATGTCCGCCTTGCTCTCGTGACTGCTGCTCTCACTCTTTGTCTTCACAAGAAAGAGCTCCAAGTCTTGCCACAATGTCCACTACCTTGTCGTCAGGTACTACGCAGACAGCTTCGACCACTTCGAGTACAACTCGCGTGACGTGGGCCACGCGCTTGGCACCCAGCTGCTGAAGGTCTTTGGCGAGACGCACCAGCAGCTGACCACCAAGCTGGGCACCAAGGACCGGCGCCGCTCCTCAATCAGCGGACAGCCTCTGCCGCCCGAGTTCGAGCTGCCGCTGGTGACGCGGGCGCGACTGCCCGGTGGCTGGCAGTACCTGCACATCAGCGCGCCGGCGCCTGTCGTCGACCTGAGCCCGCCCTGGGTGCTGGCCACCGGAGACCCCGTCTATAAGTCAGGTGGGGCTCGCTGGCTACCAGAGACCCCGTCTATAAGCCAGGTGGGGCTCACTGGCCACCGGAGACCCCGTCTATAAGTCAGGTGGGGCTCTCTGGCTACCAGAGACCCCGTCTATAAGCCAGGTGGGGCTCACTGGCCACCGGAGACCCCGTCTATAAGTCAGGTGGGGCTCGCTGGCTACCAGAGACCCCGTCTATAAGCCAGGTGGGGCTCACTGGCCACCGGAGACCCCGTCTATAAGTCAGGTGGGGCTCGCTGGCTACCAGAGACCCCGTCTATAAGCCAGGTGGGGCTCGCTGGCTACCAGAGACCCCGTCTATAAGCCAGGTGGGGCTCACTGGCCACCGGAGACCCCGTCTATAAGTCAGGTGGGGCTCGCTGGCTACCAGAGACCCCGTCTATATGCCAGGTGGGGCTCACTGGCCACCGGAGACCCCGTCTATAAGTCAGGTGGGGCTCGCTGGCTACCAGAGACCCCGTCTATAAGCCAGGTGGGGCTCGCTGGCCACCGGAGACTCCGTCTATAAGTCAGGTGGGGCTCGCTGGCTACCCCCCGTCTATAAGCCAGGTGGGGCTCGCTGGCTACCGGAGACCCCGTCTATAAGCCAGGTGGGGCTCACTGGCCACCGGAGACCCCGTCTATAAGTCAGGTGGGGCTCGCTGGCTACCAGAGACCCCGTCTATATGCCAGGTGGGGCTCACTGGCCACCGGAGACCCCGTCTATAAGTCAGGTGGGGCTCGCTGGCTACCAGAGACCCCGTCTATAAGCCAGGTGGGGCTCACTGGCCACCGGAGACTCCGTCTATAAGTCAGGTGGGGCTCGCTGGCTACCAGAGACCCCGTCTATAAGCCAGGTGGGGCTCGCTGGCCACCGGATACTCCGTCTATACGTCAGGTGGGGCTCACTAGCCACCGGAGACCCCGTCTATACGTCAAGTGGGGCTCACTGGCCACCAGAGACCCCGTCTATACGTCAGGTGGGGCTCGCTGGCCACCGGAGACCCCGTCTATACGTCAGGTGGGGCTCGCTGGCCACCAGAGACCCCGTCTCTACGTCAGGTGGGGCTCACTGGCCACCGGAGGCCCCGTCTTCAAGTCAGGTGGGGGCTTACTGGCCACCGGAGACCCGTCCATAAGTCAGGTGGGGCTCGCTGGCCACCGGAGACCCCTTCTTCAAGTCAGTTGGGGTTTACTGGCCACCGGAGACCCGTCTTCAAGTCAGTTGGGGCTCACTGGCTACCGGCGACCCTGTCTTCAGGATACCTCCTCCCTCCCCCTAATGTTTTTGTTTTCTGGACTACGTTTTGTTAAGTAGCAGCCCTGTTGGCAACCCAGCCAACCCGGATGCAGATTGAGCGCGCCTTTAGCTGATGGGTCGTGGACATATCCCGTTTCCCACCTGCGGCACCAAACATGACGCCCTGTGGGCTGTAAGTGTCCGCGCCCACTTGCCTTTTGTTTCTTATATGGATGTTTGCCCCACTCTTGGCATTGCCTTCCTGGCCTCACTGCGAATTACACTCACATTTCGACTTCAGCACTAAAAGCATTGTGAGGTAAACAGGCATTGTCTGACAGCTTAGTCAATGGTAAGTTGATAAGTCAATACGCAGCAAAGGCTTCCCCACTAAAACACTTTTGGTGTTGCACTCTGCACCTGCGCCGGCATCATTGACGCGGATACAGCATTACGTGAGTTGCGGTTTCGCCAGGTTTTGGGTGGGCATATATGCTGGTTTGTATGTTCATATCCCCTATATGTGGTATCTGTACCTGTGTGTGGCACCTCTGTGTATGTATATCTGGGTATACACACACGCCGCGCGCACAGATCAGGTCATATGTTATGTGCGTGTGCTCCAGTGTATCCATCCGTTTCCATGTCAGCCACCGGCTATATGCGGCTTGAGGTGAGCCAGTGGCGGGTGGTGCAGAAGATCACGTGCTACTCGCAGAATGCCATCGAGGCGGACAACATGATCGCCCTGTACGGCCTGCACGAGGTGTTGCTCAACAACATGGTGGCCAGGTCAGTCAATGCCGACCCAGATTGCACGCGCCAGAGATAAGCCGCAATGTGTTGTGTGCGCGGGAAGGAGGGGATGGCCGTGATGACTGTGATGGACGGCATACCACAGCCTCCCGCAGGCGACCGGGGCATAAAGCCGGCTTGATTGGCATTGGGTTCAATCGTGTGGATTTTCGTCGCGGTTCGTTCGTGGTGGGGACTGCGCATCTTTTGTGTGGCGGACTTCTCGCGAATTGCCTGCCTCAGTACGTCATAGATGTACCGCAGCAAAAAACACAGCACTACGTTTCGCGACTAACTCAGGCAGACGTGCCAGATCCCAGGTCTGGACATGGTGGTGGTAAGCTTAGCTGAGAAGCCACATTTCCTTCATTTGGGCCCCTCGTGACCGTCCCCAGGTACATGGAGGGTCTGATTCCGGACCTGTACGACTACTTCCGCCAGCCGTGGGTGATGATGGTGTTCCATGACCGGTTCGCCGTGCTGCTGAACGACATCCGCCAGGCGATGCTGCGCTGCCAGTGCAGGGACGGCAAGCTCACCCTTGAGGAGAAGGTCAGGACTCGGCGGCTGCGGGGACGTCATGACAGTATGGCTCAGAGCCTCAGCAGACCCGAGGAGGGGGGGGGGGGGGCGGGGGCTCAGGTCTGGTGCGGAGCCTCAGGAGTACCCGGGGGGAGGGGCTGAGGTTTTGGCGCAGAGCCTCAGTAGACCGGGGAGGGGGAGGGGGGCGGGGGCTCAGGTCTGGTGGCAGAGCCTCAGGAGAACCCGGGAGGGGGGGGGGGGGGCGGGGGCTCAGGTCTGGTGCGGAGCCTCAGGAGTACCCGGGGGGAGGGGCTGAGGTTTGGCGCAGAGCCTCAGTAGACCCAGGGAGGGGGAGGGGGCGGGGGCTCAGGTCTAGTGCGGAGCCTCAGGAGAACCCGGGAGGGGGGGGGGGGGAGAGTGGGCTCAGACCCGCATTTCTTTGCGTTAGGACCGTAGCACCGTAGATGCCTCCTGAAGTAAGTACAAAACCGTGGACGGACACATTAGACAATTCAGCGAGAGCTCCATCGCCATTGAGCAGATGTATCCAAAGATGTCGAATTTGCGATCTTCTTCGGCCTTCTTATGAGTTTGATCGCCGAGTTTCCTTCACCCCAATAGAATCCTGGCTGCCCCCACGATCTTAGGAGTCCCACACATAACTATCTCAAGCGCACCCTCGAAATATCTGTCCGTTGCAACTGACCGCTCTGAAGCAGCGCACTGAGCAGCGCTATCCTTCCAAACAGCTGTTACCAAAGGAAATCATGTTCCTTTCAGGAAGTGTGAATGTAATGGACGCTCCCCTGCATTACGTTCTCTGACATTGTTAATGTTTTGACATGCTACTTGACATTATCACCGGCAGGTGAATCCGGGTTGACAGTGACATCACCACCCGCGTACGGTGCTCCGTAGCTGACACTGGCAGCGAGCTAACTCCCGTCCTGGGCCGGCAGATCGTGGACGACATGTGCCGCTACAGCGAGCTGACCCAGGAGGAACACATCAAGATCCTGGAGGACTTCCGCGCCGGCGGCGTCGACCAGCTGGTCGAGTCGTGGGTGCTGCAGTACCTGGCCAACAACCAGTACCACCTGCCCATGTACGCCCGTGAGGGCACCGCTGAGTCGCTCAAGATCAACAAGGAGAGCGTGCGGGACTCGGCCAACGCAGGCATGGCGAGCTCACGCGCGCAGCTGGCCAAGATGTCCGACTAGGCGGCTTGTGCAAGGGTGTGGCGGCGAAGAGGGAAGGTGGGAGCCTCAAGAGTCGAGGTGTGGAAATCTTTGCGAAAGGTGGACGTCGGAAAACGAGGGTGCTTGGATTAAAATGGTGGGGCGTCTTGCAGCGAAATGAAACACTGAGAAAGCGCCGATCGCGAGTTCTCCGTGATGCGCTGAGTGGTGCAGAACGATGACATTTGTTCACCTATCTGAAGAAGTGAAGCGTTCCACGAAGAACGCGAAGATCTGCTTTGTCCAGTACATAGCAGTGGCGGATAATGATAATTGCTGCGAGCGGGGGGGTTGAGTTGAGCGATGCTAATGTGAGGACGGGGGGTGATAATCACACTAGTGCAAATACACCCGGCAGATTAGTGGCTGGAAGCTTATCTTGATCTTCAGGTAATCTACGAAAGTAGGGGCCCTACAGAAATGCTTAATGCTGCTTACTGAAACGACATAGCAAGTGCGATCTGCCGCGGACGGCAGGGGGGCTGTTTACTGACTGCTGCATTCCCGGAGAAAATCATCTTGCAGGAACGCACCCACGCGTCATGGCGGGCACCGGGCATTGCCAATGAATGGTAGCATTTCTTATGACATGAGCTGTCTTTTTGCTAGTCATTTCGTAGGACTCCTCTACGATCCTTGGTATGCCAGTACAGTGGGCGTTTTCTCGACGGCGCGGGGAATCCATGCCGAGTTAATTGTGCCCTGAGGGGATGGCGATAGCAGAGTGGCAGTAACAACAGTCCACGCCGAGTGCGGCTGGGCTCCGTGATTGAGAACGGGCGTCGAAGCCAGCCGATGTGGTTGGAATATTGATAAGGCATTGTGTCCGCGTGCGTTAACGTGATTGTGATGACATAAAATGGGGCTCAAATTTGAAGAAAAAAATTAACGTGGTGCCTCTGTAAGAACGGCGTTGATCGACTTAAAAAAACTCGTTTACAATATACGACGCTGTCTTTCTCCGGCAATCGCTTCGACCAATCAAATGCCGGCTATTAAGGAAACAGGAACTATCTTGACCGGTGCGCAACGGCTTGGGGATGTTATCACTGTAGTTGGTGCTTTCACACAATTCACAACACGGAAAGCTTTATTATGTTGCAAAAAAAGTAGATTCTGACCCGCTGTATCACGGGGCAAACCTGGCATCAAAATCCAAACACAAACAACACCGACCAGCAGCGGCGCCTGTTGTTGAGAATCCAACCTAAGCGCGATCACTCACTTCACGTCAGGTGCCAACTAGAGGACCCTGCGCGCCAGTCGGGGACCAACCCTGAGAATAGCCGACAAGTGCTCGTGTATGCTGGTCCAGAACAGCCACCATTCAAGTAAGCGTCGGCGCCGTGCCGGTGTATTGGGCCTAAGGGCACATTCCCAGCATGAGACAAGCAAGAGTCAGTGATTTACTTTGTTCAAGGCTCTCAGCGGCTGTCATGGGAACCCCTAACCATAGCGCCTAACAGGGGGGCCCTGTGCTGGCAAGGGGCCCGAGTCGGCCAGAGAAAAGTGTTCGAGGAGGCCCGAAGAGCCTAAAGGGTTCACCGGGACCGACGGTAAGGGCTGGATTAGAGGTCTTAAGGGCCTGAAATGCTGGTCGGGTCTTATTCAGGGTCTCCAGCCCGCAGGGCCTCAAATGACAGCTAGAGGGCCCTTTGAGCCGATCGCGGCGCGATCAGGGCTCACTGGGCCCTGAGTCGATATAGGCCTATATGGCTGTCAGGCACCGCCAGTACCGCACAGTCAGCTCCGTGTTGATATGGGCCTTGGGGCCCACTTCACTACCAGCTACAAAACCGGAGACAGCGATTCACACTGGTCGAGGCCCCTGTATCTGTCAGGGGCTCGCAGTGCCTAAAAGAGAGAGTCCTGTGTTCGCAAGGGGCCCCGAGCCGACCAACGGCAGTGTTTAATGGGGCCCAAAGAGAGGCCCGGCTGCCCAACGGAACTGACGATGAAGGGATCGGTTGGAAGGCATAAGGGCCTGAAGGACTTGATATAGATCACATAAAGAATAGCGACCCATAGGGTGTCAACCAAAAATATCAGCCCGAGGCCTCCTTGTACCGTTTGAGGAACCCATGTGGCAATGTGGATGCCTCGGTCGGCCAGAGACCACGAGCGCCGAGCAATTAGATCTCTGTCAGTCTGAACCCTGGGATCCATTTCCCAAGTAGAGACAAGGCTGGGGGCCACGATTTTCATTTTTTTGGGTCTGTGAAACAGTGCTTGGGACTTCTGTGTCGGTCAGCGGCCCACAGTGCATAACAGGAGGTCATGTCTGTTTGTGGCCCCTTATCGGTCATGGTCTTCGTTTGAGGGGGTCCGAAGTGGGGCCTGGGGCCCTCGGCACCATAGATTAAGCGCGCGATTGGGCTCAGACTCGCCCCCCCCCCTCACACGTGGTGTCGTGACCCAACATGCCAGTCTGAGGCATGGGTGTCGATTTTTGAAAATAATTGGGGGGCTTTATTCGTGGAAGTCGTCAAAAGGGACAGGATCGAAAACTTTTCGGGTTTGGTGCCTAATGTTCTAGTAATGAAATATATATATATATATATATATAGAGAGAGAGAGAGAGAGAGAGAGAGAGAGAGAGAGAAGGAG